GGCAGAACTTACTGGAAGATTTTGAGCAGTGCTCCTAATTACGTTTTGAAATAAAACCCTTGTCTTTTGCTTTTAAAGATTATACACCATTGACGTCTGTATTCCCTTTGGAGAAAAATTGTAGTAGGTGCTATAAAACTGGTTACAAGTCAAATTTCTCCGGAGTCTTAGAGCTGGAAAGGACTTTGCCCGTTGTCGTCTAACTCAGTGTTTTGCAGTGTGGAGTCTGTGCTCCCCGGGTGAGGTATGAAATCAGTTTAGAGGGTCACAGCTAGCACTGGAAAGTAAAGAAGGAGGCGATAGAATAAAATTGAATATTAAACGCCTTTTGCATATACTATTTTGAGAAACTTTTGTTTCAGTTGTGTGTGTGTGTGTGTGTGTGTGTGTGTGTGTGTGTGTGTACACATGTTGGTTCACACTGTAAAGTGTGTGCCTTACTATGAGTTCTGGTGAAACAAATGAGAAAGTCACCAATGTAATCGCTTTCTGTTCCAGGTAAGACGCCTGGAGCCAGAGGGGGTAAATGACTTCCTCAAGTACCGCGTGTCAGAAGTAGTCCAGATCTCTTGACTCCCAAGATCCTTAACATTCGACTCTGATGATGGAAGAATACTAGTAGGTGGGTGTCAACGCTTGCCCTGTGGCTTCCATACCGCGGCAGCTGACATTCTAGTCCCCTTTTGGAGCAATTCCTGTGCTTCTGGGTCGGCTGGACTCCCCTTTCTCCTCCTCCACTAATTCTGCCAACCTTATGCCATACAGCATCTGACGCTCTGTGAGGTGGAGTGGGTGTGTAGAGGGACAAACGTCAGTGGCCAGGCGTGGATAATCCACGACTGTTGGGTAGCTCGGAAGGTGCAAAATTCCACCCCTGACTGCAGCCTGGAGCTGATGAGCCACTGGAGAAACAGAATCACAGCCTCCCTGTGAAAAAGAGGGGGTGCCTGTGACCACTCACATAGAAGGCATTCTCAGAAAGGAGACAACCAGCTGACAACCGTGGGCTTTAGGTAATTCCTGCCAGACTCATGCACTCTGGCTGGTCTTCCTGAGCCGAAATAGAAGCATGCAGAAAGTGTTCTATGACTGCAAAGACAAAGCAGGATTATGAAAGAGGATCCTGCCCGGGATTCAAAGTGCCTCTGGTTTGGACTTAGAATGATCACCCTCATCGAGAAACAAACACTTGTAACGCATTTACTATGTGCCAGGTATTGTTCTGAGAATATTATAAATATTTACTCATTTAATCCACGTGGTCAACCTTTAGGCCTTGGTGGACTCTCCTGGTTGCACAAGGTTGAGAAGCATGGAGATGTGATAAAATAATGCTTTTCTTCCTGATCCGAAGACAGGGGGGTGAGTACTGTTAACAGTGTAGAAACCATGTCACTGACGAAGTGAATTAATCAATAGCCAGATCCAGGGAGAAAAGGTCAACTGCCTACTTTCTCTTGGCCGAAGGAACCGGGGGAAGATTGTCCTTGCGAAGATTCATCACTTTCTGATGCTTTCCAGAAGTGGTGATAGATCTGCGACAAGCCATTTATTAAAAAAAAAAAAAAATTACCTTCATATATTTGTAGGATAGCTGCTTTGGTGGTGAGGCATCTGCTTGGGTCCAGAAAACACCCCCTCAAGCCCATGTAGAGATCAAACCTGTGCCCTGGGCCTCATCCAGTGCTTTGCATGGTGCTGGGAGAGGATCCTCAATACTGTGTTGAATTCATTTATTATCACACTTCAAAAACCGAAAACTGACTTTGGAAACTGCTAGATTTGGCTTTGATGATGAAAATTAGTAGAAGTTTACTGAAGTGTAAGGAGGGCAAGAGGTTTTTTTAAAGATGAAAAGGAAGTGAGGGTTTTTTTTTTTAAGTACCTATTACATGCCCTTATGTTTTATAGGTTAACATTAAATCCCACAATACTCTGATGGAATCTCCATTTCATAGATGAGGGAACTAAGTTAAATGATTTGCTGAAAGTAAATAGGTGAGGGGCAGGATTCAGGATACAGTTTGCCTGCAGAATCCATTACTCTTTCCCATCACGCTGTAGCCCGAAAGTTAAAAAAATGTTTATTTTCGTCATCTGAAAAATGATTTGGCCCTAGCACTATTCACTGACCATGGCAAATCTTTTTTTTTTTTTTAATTTTTTTTTTCAATGTTTTTTATTTATTTTTGGGACAGAGAGAAACAGAGCATGAACGGGGGAGGGGCAGAGAGAGAGGGAGACACAGCATCGGAAACAGGCTCCAGGCTCCGAGCCATCAGCGCAGAGCCTGACGCGGGGCTCGAACTCACGGACCGCGAGATCGTGACCTGGCTGAAGTCGGACGCTTAACCGACTGCGCCACCCAGGCGCCCCATGACCATGGCAAATCTTTAATTGATCTTTCCATGCCATAGCCTACCGATTATCCACGAGGAATGGCAACAGTTAAGGCCTGTTCTCTGTAATTAAGCCTTGGTTCCCTTACCAACTCCACCATGTAATTACACTTCCTTCTCGAACAGGCAGATATGGTTCACTAAAGAATCTGAGAACAGCCATTTAAATGATGCCTAGTTTCTTGCTCTGGTCTGGTCAAGTCTGGGCTTGGGCACATAAAGAATGCTGCTGACCCTGAACTCACCAATGCTGATGCTACGTGGGAGTCGGGGTGTATTTCCTGCGTATTCTGTGAAACTTCGAACTTGTTCCTGCTCGTTTTCCACAATGAACATGTCGAGTAAAAATGCAGGTTGCTAAATATTTATCCTTTTCTTGGAGCAGCCTGGGCTGACTTAGGCAGCAAGTCTCATATAGTTATTAATCATCAGAAATGGAAAATGTTTCTTTTTGAAAGGTATAATTATCAGAGGTCTCACACGAACAAGATCTTGAAAAGAAGATAGTATTTGCCATCATCAGTACATTCTGTGGCTGTACTCATGAAAAAATTTGGCTTATCCCACAAAGTTTATGGACTTTTTTTTTTTCAGTTGAAATAAGATTTGGCTTAGCATAAGGCACCAAAAGGGGAAGGATGGTATTAAATAGTGAAGTTACGCAGGGCTGTGTTGTAATGTGGAGTGAGAAAGGGAACCCACAGAGATTCAATTATCTTCAGGAGTCTAGAAAACCCTAGGCTTCCAAATGCCCACCAAATAAACCAACTATTAAAGTAAACAAAAGTTGCTTGGAGTTAAAAGTCATTAAGTAAAAATGAGATGACAAGCAAGGTCACTTGGACCCGGAGATCGAATGAAATGTCCAGATTAAACACCGGAGGGTTTAAAACAAACACAAACCAACCCCCCCCTCTCCTCTTCCCTCATGGGTCAAAAAGGAGCTTAAGACAATCCAAAAATATTTTCTGAGTTTGAAGTCCCCAAAAAGCAAGGATTCAAAGGTCACATACAAAGTACTGCCCACTTTCTTGGTCTCACCATGGCTATTCTGAGGGGACTGGGCAATTAGTACCTGGGGGGGAAAAAAAAACTCTTAAGAGAGTTGGAGAGGTCCAGATGTTGGAGATTATGACCTCCTGGATAAAATGGAATTTAACGAGAAGAATTAATTTATGACTTTCTCTCCCTATTTGCAGTATGTGTTCAGCTTATTATCTGTACATATTGTGATGCACAGCAATTACAATGCTGAAAATAATGGGCAACACGTGTCCACTGTAGTTAAGTTTGGGGGGGGGCATTTGTCACATTTTAGTCTGCACATCTGGTTCTACAATATTTGCCAACTGATTAATATAGAAATATATTGCAGTGAAAATCCTTTCATATTAAAGTTTTATTTGCCAGGAAGTAGAATTCTTTCCTTTCCGCTCTCTCCCCCACATTTTATGCTGAACTCTGAAATTTCCAGCACTAGGGTTCATCTGAGCAAACAGGACAGGGAATCTGCTCTTGTCTTTGTTTAATTCTCCAAGTTCTGATAGTGACAATTGGGATATATATGCATCCTTTGTTTTGTAAAGCACATCCACAAGGGAGAAACCCTAAGGCTTATTCTAAAAAGCTGGTAGGGCATCAGATATCTCCCACACTTAAAACCACATAAATTAAATTCTAAATTTTAAACTCCCTTTTATTGAAATATAAGTTTGTTTAGCATATTTACAACACTTTATGCACATATATACACAGAAGGCAAATTCTGTCAAATAAAAAAGTTTTTCTTAATAAAAAATTAAAATAAAAACAAAGTAAAGTGCATGAAATTCATTTTCTTCTGGTGAACATCATCATTGTCAAAATTTTGGTCGATGGGGAGGGGGGAGGAAGAATAAATTCATTACTTGACTCAGCGCATACAGCCGGTCCTGTATTTGTAGCCCTTAGGCCAAAATGACAAGTGGTAAGGAACAAGTCAGACTCATTGTCAGGGTCTGTAGGACCCCCACCCCGGTTCCGAAGGTCCTGCTCTCTTTGTCCTATCGGGAGCCTTCCCCCAGCTCCTAACAGTGATCTCACCATCACGGTGCTGGAACAAAGGCGGAACACAGGAAGGGGGCTCCACCAGCCAATGTCACAGCCCAGCTCCGGGGCCACCAGCGCAGCGTTTGGTAGGAAATGCAGGATTAGCTCAACGGCTCAAACAGAAGTTTTCCTTTTTCGGAAGGGGAATGCGGGGCCCAAGGAATGGGATGCATCTCCCACGGAGACGGCCACCCGGGGGGCCAAACTCCGCAGCCCGTTTCTTCGGATCCAAACTCAGTGCTGGCACAGGGTAGAATCCTTTCAGAGGCTGGGCGGAAGGAATGGTTCACTTCTTCCCCCGGTGAGTTCGTCCTCCCAGAACTTTGAAAGGAAACGGCAGGAGACGGAGAGAAAGGGGCAGGTGGGTGAAGCTGAAGTTTTAGCCTCCTTCCCGCTCCGGCCACTGGCTGGGCGTTGGCCGGCTGGTCCCCCGCGGCGGCCGAAGCGACGGCCCTTCCCCCATCAGCCATTCCTCAGCCAGGGGTCTCTCTCTCTCTCTTCCTCCAGGGTACGCTAAGTCCCCGGTCGGCGGCCGTACTTGGCCTTACAGTGCAAAATGTGCTTGGCGAGGAAGTCGAGGCGGCGCTGCAGCAGCTGAGCGTGGGGGTCGGCGAGCGCGGCCAGCTCCGGGAAGCGAGGCTCGTGGCGCTGGTAGAGGCGCAGCAGCCGGGCGGCCGCGTCCTGGCCGCGGTGCAGCTCCAGGACGCGCCGCGCAGTCCGCTCGCGGAACACGCACACCGACTGCAGCAGCGGCTCGTTATATTTGTCCCACATGCCCGCCACCCGGTAGCCGTGCACCAAGCCCGCCTCGTTGTCCAGAAAGACCAGCGCCCCGCCGGGGCCGCGGTGCAGGTTGCTGGTGGCGCGCTGCATGACGCGCGGGTCCCACTGCAGGCTGAAGAGGTTGCTGACGAGCCGGTCGAAGTTGGCCGTCAGATAGTCAAAAAGGATCAAGTCGGTCCACTGCACCAGGTCCACCAGCTCCGCCTGGCTGCGGTTGGCCAGCTCGCCCCCGGCGGCACGCAGGGGCCGCAGCTGGCCGTCCTCCGAGCGCCAGGGCGCGGGCACCACCACGTCCGTGAGGTTGGGCAGCCAGCGCGTCAGGCTCACCACGCTGCCCTCCGTCCAGTGTGCGGCGCGAAGCTCCTCCTGCACCTGCGCCCACTGCGCGCCGCGAGCCTCCACCCGGGCCAGTGCCAGCGGCGGCACGTGGCGCTGGAGGCCCAGCAGGCGCGCCAGGTAGTAGGACAGGGCCTCGCCCTGTATCTGCTCGGGGTTGATGCCATAGCGCACGCAGGCGCGGGTGCCGTCGGAAAAGCGGGCCAGCCGGTTGGAGCTGCGCCCGCAGCCGCCGCGCTCCAGGGCCACCACCCGGGCGCCGCGCGCCG